TGTGTCGGAATCTCGACGCCGCCGCATTGGTGATCTACGCCGATCAGACCACTCTGGACTGCGCGAAAAGCGTCTCTGTGGCCTTTCACCGCCAGAGGCAAACGGCTCAGGAGGCGCTCCAAGAAGAGAGAAGTGCAAACCAGGAGATGGATACCGTTCGCGGTATGGTGGCATATTCTGTCCAGCGCGATAGGGCGAAGGAGGTCTATCCATGGGATGAAAGCGACCGGACCCTCGAAACTGATCAGCTCTTCCTTGACCTATTGCTTGGCTACCCTGTAATGAAACCACATCGGAGGTCTGAAATCCGCGAGGGTGCTGGTACTCGTAATCATCACGACTAGGATAATCTGGAAAATCACGGGACTCCGCTTGAAATGCAGATGGATCTCGAGGTATGCGCTGGTTTGGGCGACCAATAGGATAACCGTTGCAGTCGCGAATGGGTGGAGGCTGGTCCATGTATTGGTGATCTTGACGACGATCCCGATCAGAGCGCAGACGATCTTCGTTATCACGATTTGGACGAGAACAATCATGATACTCTCTAGCGTAAGGTTGAAGATCCTGAGGCTCCCGAGGCCTGGGCGCAATAATCCTCTCTCGGTCACGATCGCCGAGAGGGGATCGTTCGCGCTTTAGATATACATTTGCGGGCTCTGGCGTTTGGAAGCCATGATTTGGAGCCCATGTGGGCATTGAGTGTAGGAACATTCTGGGCTCGTCTGGTGCCCAGGACGGACAGGCCCCAGATCCAAAAATCGCATTTCCATCACCTAAAACGATTAGTTGAAGTTGCTATTATCCTGCATTAGGTGCATGGAAGACGAGATGTCAATTCCCAAATATTATAATAATCGAGCGATAGAATGTAATGAGCAGCAGAGAAAAAGTGAATACTTTGAGCTTGGGTTTCTAAATACGAGGCCAAAATATTCGAAAGGAATTCAAAGACTAAATCAATCGTGGCTGAAGACTCGTGACAAACGAGAGGCCCCGACTTTATCCGAGAAACGATTAGTCAAAACAAGGTCGAAAATAAAGTAAGAACGCATCACTACAGGTTGCGCACTAATACATTGATAGATTGGTGGCGGCAACAAGGTTAACAAGAAACAATCACGCGAAACACAACATAATTAGCGACCGTGATCAGTGTTCACAAATATAATAGCGCTCCAATAATGAACAGAGAAATAATTTACCGGAGCCAGGGACTTGACCAGGGCGTTCTGGATGAATAGTCGGGGAAAGTCGTCTCCCCCGCATAGGGTAAAAATCTTCCGTTGTCTGTTTTGTAGGTTGCTCAATATCACGGTATTCGTACCGATTTAATGATCTGTCCCTGTTTCTAAAAATATCATAAAACAATATTTAACCTTGGTTCGGGCGAGCGACATCGAGGAATATTAGGGCCAGAAAGGCCAAAATTTCTGGAGAC